CTTTATTCTTTAAAAAAATAAGGTACAATTACATTTTATTCAATTATATGTTCACTGTTCTTTTGTAATAGCTTGTTGTTATTTATCAGGCGCGTCTTTAGATAAAATTCCAAAGGTGAAAAATTTTTATTACAAATTCTTGAATCTGGTTTTCATGAGAGAAAGTTTTTCCCATCAAAGTGTTTTGAAACAAAGGAAAAATGTAATAATCAGTTGGTACAAGGTCATGTGAATATGGTAGATGGAACAGAACAAAGCAACAGATTTCAAAAATTTTTTTATTTTTTTTGCATTATCACAGAGGAAAACAACTGTTGCAGCATACCTACGGACGATAATGGGTATGTCCCCATTCACATAAATACAGTAGTAAATACTGTATGTGGGTCTGCAGTTGGAGATTCGTCTTCAGCTGTGCTGATCAAACTCTCTGCCTCTGGGCAGAGAGGATCCGCAGGCAAAGCTATGTCGAAGGGCAACAGCTATTCATCCCTGGCAAACAGCTACATCCCTGTTTTATACGGGGTCTATGGGGAAATTTTGGCCGAGCCTACGGGCTTGGATACCCCACATTAAATTTGGCCTTGTGCCACATCTGACCGTGTGGAGCAGTTGGTAGATATCCTTCAGTTGGAGATTCATTGTGGAATTCACTTGACTCACTTCTAGCAGTTGACTACTTCTACGCACCGCTGGCAAATCTTGTATGTGTTGTTTGTGTGCTCAGTATTATCGTTCATTACCAACCTTCATTTGATTATTCTATTCAGTAACCTTCCCTAGGTTACAACAACAACAGAGTACTTTTGATCAAATGTTTATGGACACATTGCAGCTGCTGGACGTATAAATGTGCATTTACTGTTTCATTGCGTTTTAAGAATGCTAAATGAATAATACGTTAATGATTCCACCACATGCACAACATTACCTTTCTTCCATGGAACTAAAATTTAGGTGGCAGTTGTGGAGATTTATCCTTGTCAATTCACTGCCTTTTATATTAAACATTGTGAGATGTAAGCCATTTTTCATAACCTATTATGATACATTTAATGAACGGTTAATTAGAATGATGTGTTCATCATTAGAATTGGTTCTCCAAAAACGAAAATTATTTATGACTCAATCTAATAATTGAGAAATTTTTCTGAAACATTGTACAGACAATCACCAGTTTGACTTAATTTGCAGAGGAAATAAAAAAGGAAGCAGTTTCAGAGAATAAAGGATGTCAGTAAAGTGCAAAATAAAAAGATTAAAAAAATTTAAACTTAATTCTATCAAAGACAAAGGCCATATAGCTTATGTTATTTTTCACAGGAAATTAAAATTATAAGTGTTATGAATAATCAAGACTGGTATCCCCTTGTTCTGTTACTCTCCTTTTTGAGAGTGCTATTTCTGTTTACTGGGACTATAAAAGGACACTATATGCAAACCTTGTCTTCTCTGTTGAATAAAGCTTTCTTAAAGCTTACACCTGCATACTTTTGTCATTACAATAAGTTTATTATGTTTTAAATTCATTATAAAAACTAGTTTAGCCATGCCATTGAAAATGAAGGCATATTCTGTTAAGTCAAAAGTTTTTTACATGTAAGTTTATACACATATTTTCCAATTATTATATTTCTAATATAATAATTCTGGATGATGAGTCTATTACTGAATAATAACAAAAAACTGATACCCTCCCACCTTATTTCCAGTAGATATTAATACTAGCTCATTCATGCTATCAAAATTGAAGACATATTTTGTTAAATCCTTATTATTATAATTCTCATTTAATAACTGAGTTCTGTTCCAATGACCTGGTTGCTTAACAAGTTGTAACTGACTGCTATTTCAGGCATACTATGCCTGTAATAGATTTGTTTCAACCAGTTTCAAATAGCTTCATTGTTACTGTTGTATTATTCATTAATCTATTCAGTATAAAAGTGGTAAATTTTTTTTAAAATCAGATAATTCCTTGATTTTTGGTAAAATTTTAAAAACAGTGGAGCAGTGTTGTTTTGCTTTTTTTTTTTTGCTTTCAATGCATGTATTTTTGTGGTACTTATGCATTGGTTGGAGTTTATATTTATTTTGTTTTTAGTTTTACGTGATTTTAAAGCTGGTTGTTAGTCCAGGAGCGTTGTCAAACAGGTAAGTTGTTCAGTGAAGAGTAGCCATGTTACGCTTTCTAGGTTTTCACATGTAAATCTTTAAATATATCTTTCAAGTAATTATAGTTTACCCATTTGTGCATTCATAAACCAATATCATCTGATACCTTTTTAATTGTTTTTGGTCTTTTCTAGATGATCCTTTGTATTATTCATTTGATCAGTGCAATTGTCATAACAAAGACACTGCCACCTGATGTCGCCAGTGCAAGGAAGATAACTAATTAAAAATATAGTAATAATAAAAAATATACAATTACACTTATTATATAGTAAGATTAAAAAGTTTTAAGATTTTCTTTCTACTGTTAAAGAATCTTAAAAAAAAAACTCTAATGACAAAAGTAAATATCTATATGGGTAATTGAATGACAGAATAGAAAATGTCCCAAGTGATGTGTTTCATCTTTCAAAATGGACTTCTTCAAATTAAATAATGTTTTATTGATGGGTTCCTATGTAGTGGGAAGGAACAAAATACAACAAATGTCAATTATAATTATACATCAAGAGTAATGCTGAAAATGCAGGGTGGGGGGCTTAACTTTATTTTTATGATTACGTCAATAAAACATTATTAATCTGGAGAAGTTCTTTTTTTGAAGACAAAACACAGGATTTTTTCCATTTTCTCATTCAATTATCCATCATGAGTCTATATAAACTCTATACATATATATCTCTATATGTATATCATAATCCTCAAAATCTCTCTCTCTCTCATATACATACAGAGTGGTAATAAAGTCACTATACAGTTACTTATAATAAAAAAGCAAAGCATTGAAGCAGATGACTTGCAGTTTGTACAGTATTGGTAATTAATTTACTATTGTGTACCATAGCATTTTATTGTTATTAACCAGAATTAACAAGAACCATTTTAATAATAAATTTCTGGACTGCTGATTAATTTCTGTCTTAATTGTTATTGTAAGTAATTATATAGTGACTTTATTACCACCCTATATATATATATATATATATATATATAATATGACAAGTGCATTTTTTTTAAAATAAAAATTAACATTTTTGATAACAAATAAACTAGTTATTGGTTATTTATTGAAAAGATGAGGCAGAAAAATATATCAAAAAGTTACCTGTTCTCAGTAATTGTTTACAGGGGATCTTTTGGGCCTCTTCCGCTAAAATACTTTCTGCATCTGTAATAATAAAAGTCATGAATTAATGTTAACAAATAAGGTAAAACATTTTCTCACCAAGTACCTTAGTTCAGCTTTAATTTTTATATAAGCAACTTTGGATTTTGATCAATACTCAGCTTGTGTATATTTTGTGAAAGAATTTGTACTTAAGTTATTTAAATGGTTGCTTAAATTTTTATGACCGAATATAATAAACAGAAAAGAAAAACATTTCAATGTAATTAAACTGGTAGATAGATTTGGTTGATTGGTTGGATTTGTTTATTGACTTATTAACTTATGGGTTATTTAATGCTGAAATCTAAATATTTTGCATGTAATTTTATGTTTTTTGGAGATAATAAGGGTTTAGTGATACTAGTCTTACTAATAGCTGAGGAGAAAAAGTGGATTCATACCCTTTCCCAAGGGTATTTGCACCTAAGTGAATATAATGAACTTGTAGTGGTGCTGTAAGTATTGTTGGCTAGGGTCACCGTGAATATAATAAAGAAGGAAGACTGTGTTCTTGTAAAAACAACACCCCCACATGAATAATGTACAACAAACACGAGAGAAAAATAATCAATCTCAATGAACATTAATAATATATTGTATTAACAATGATATACAAATATCAGCAATAGTATAAAAAGTTGTTCCCTTTTTCCGTAATAAAAGGGTAAATTTAGCTAATAAGTACAAAATTGACTGTAATTTAAATACAAGGTTCAATTGAAGTCTTAGCTAAATAAAGAATAGTTCCACAGTGTTTTACCAGTGTAGAAAAATATAATGTTCATGAGTGATATTAATATGAATCAGTATGATTACTTGGTTGAAAGATAATTAAAAATTAAAATGTCAATATAGCGCCGTGCCTTGCTTTCCAAGAGTTGAACTGCTACTGCCTGTGTTGGCAAACAGTGAGAGTTTATATAGCAAGCTTTAGGCTCAAGATGGTTTAGCGCGAAAATAGAGAAAAGATATTAAAATACGTGATTGGTCAGGAAATGGACCAATCCGTGATTTTAGAGAAAATTTTGAATTACCTGCCATGGTTAAATTGTCCTATGATAAGTATCATGTATTTACTATCCAATAAGAATAAAGAAAACGGAGGTGTGGCACATGTAAGTGATTCCCACAAACTCAATGGAAATTGGAACTTGATTCTCCGATTAACAATTCTGAGCTATTATCCATTACACAACCTGCACATGTGGCATTTCCAAGAGGTCACTCATCTAGGTATTGACAAGGCTAGACTCTGCTTAACTTCAGTGATCATACAGGAACTGATGTTTCAACATGACACGGTCATAAGTCACAGAATTAATAGAATTTTTGAATACAGTATAAAATAATGTATTTAGCAGCAAATCATTTTGCTTAATTTTATGCTTTTCTTATTTTTATATTTTGCTCTTTTGAGTTGTTTAATCTACATTGAAGTCTGTCATGGAGTTGCTTAGGATTTAGTCAAATTTGAGTACAGTTGCTTATCAATCAGTTACTCATGAAAAAAAATTTCATATTTCCATGATTTTGCTACAATAATAAGTTTTCAGTAACTTGTCAAATTGCAGACAGATCTAATATTCTGTTATTTGTTTGAACAACTTTCAACACTTTCTTTCCACTTTAATCTGATCTGCATAAATAACTAGACTCATGGTCATATCATGTTGAAATACCAGTTCCCGTACAATCAGCAAATTTAAGCAATGTCGAGCCTGGTCAGTACCTAGATGGGTGCCCGCTTGAGAATACCAGGTGCTGTAAGCAAGTATGTGCTGCAGGTGTAATGTATAATTGCTCAGAAATGTTAATTGGAGAGCAGAGTTCCATTTCCAGTTGGTTTTGTTATATTCACTTACTCTCAAATACCCTTGGAAAAGGTACAAATCCACCTCTTCACCCCCAGCTATGAGTTAATTAGTAATACTTGTATCACTAAAATTATTATTCTCTTAAAAAAAATTCTTTTAATCTAAAAATATTTCCTGACTTTAAGTAACCTACAAAGGATTGATAAGCCATACAAAATGAATCAATCAAGGATAAAGAACTGGGTTAATATAGGAATATTCTTCATATTTCATGTATATAAATTTCTCATTCTCGAAAATTAAAACAAAAATGTTTCTTTTAAGGTGGTGTGTAAAAATTTGAATCAAGAAAACAATAAAATAAAAAATCACTAGGAAATGTGTTTTGCTTCATTCCCATATAACCAAGACATAAATCAATGCCATTGGTGCAAATATGAACATAGAGACAACGCCTTCACACAGTTCTTCACTGACTGTACAAATCACTCTAAATTGTGTTTTGATTCCAGTATGCAACAGTTTGAACAAAAACTGAAAAAAGCCAGTTGTATGTTCACAAGGGAATGGAAGGTAAAATAATACCACAGTAAGAAACAAAAACATAAATCCTCTTTATAATATACGTGATTATTTATTCATGGGTTCACTTGGCACAATGTATGTTAGTGACATTTCAAGACATCTTTATTCCTATTTTTGTCTTCTCTTATGACAGACCAGATCTTCCTTTTGGTCATCAAGAACTCTGACTTTCTTCTACAACCCCATTGCCCATCACAACATCATGTGGAGCATGCAACTGCTTTGGTCACCCTGCATATATAAGTCTATGACCAGAATTCCCTAACTTCTGTCTAAGTGGCACTTGATTCCAAAAGTTTTCATTTACTAATTCCTTTCTACTACTTCTGGTCTTCCAAAATTTAATTTAGGCATTACTATTGGTTATAAACATCAGACCCTTCAGATTCTGATGAAATAGTTCACAGTCCACTTTACATCATAGGTCTTTTAAGTTATGGCTAGGCTCCATTGTGTCACATGAAAAAATAAAATCAAAATTATATCTGCTTTAATGCTTTTGTTACCAGATGCATCTTTGAAGTAGGTATAAATTCTTTATCTATTAAAAACGTATTTCAGTTTCCTGGTATCAAACTCTTAATATGGAACACTATTGTGATTAATTTTAATAAAAAATTTTAGGTAGACACAAATAAATATTGTAAAAAATGAAAAACAGGAGAGTATGAGAGTCCAGAACTATATATATATATATATATATATATATATATATGTGTGTGTGTGTGTTTGTGTTTGCTCTGTCTAGATGTTCTAGGCATTGAGTACATTACTGTGTAAGTAGGTGTTTGCCTTTTGATCTTTTTTTTTCTTTCCTTCATCAGATTTTTTCTATTTTTTATTGTTTAAGGTAGGTTGTTTGGCAAGTTGTCATATGAACATTGTTGGGTTCTTTAGTATATATCAAGCATCTCCACAAGATATTCAACAAAAACACAGTAAAATTCAGCTACAAACAGTACAACAGAAAAACAATCATTAAACCACCTGAACAAATCAAACTTACATGTAACTGCAGGGCAAATAACAATTGTCCCTTAAACACAAATTGCTTACAGAACAATATACTAAGTCACTGTAAAATCAGCAGATAATGAATAGAAAATATACATAGAACTAACTAAAGGATCCTGGAAACAAAGAAAGTATGCACACAAAACATCCTTTACAAATAGTAAATACACAAACAGCAGAATGCTTTCTAAACATATATGGGAAATTAAAAACAAATCACACTAAAAATATCATGGAAAATAAGGAAAACAGCATCAACCTACAACAATAAATCCTAAAACTGTAAACTCTGTCTGAAGGAGAAAACAGCTGTAATTACCTTCCCAGACTAACAAAAATTACTAAATAAATGATCAGAACTTGTCTCAAAATGCAGACATAAAAACAAATTTTTACTACATTACTTAAAAATTAAAAACTAAAAATGAACGAAAATAAAAAATAAAATAAATAAGCAAAATAAAATAACCCATTTCAATAAATAAGTAAACAAATTAAGTAAATAATAAACAATTAACTACAAATACTTATTTCTACTCAATATCTACTAGAATAATTTTAAATGTAATCATTACAGCCCACCCAATAATCATTATAATAATAGAATAGACCTACCCATAATGCACCACTGACCAGCATATATAGTCAAGCCAAAACTCAATGCACATGGCCTGAAGATTGCATTTAAGCATGAAATGGACTATTGCCGCTGGGTGTTGACCTCAATGTCCACTTTCATATTTACATATTTTCTATCTTGAGTATAGCATACCTTGAAACTATATTTTTTTATCACACACACACACACACACACACACACACACACACATATATATATATATATATATATATATATATATATATATATATATATATATTATATATGGATATATTTTATTGAATGTCAGTACTCATTTTATATGTTTTATGTTTATTTATTATATATTTATATGTTAAAGATAGGGATTAAATCCAGCAAAATGATCAAATAAGGAACAAGTAGGAAAAACTTTATAAATTTAATCTTTTCTTATTTATTTAGCTTCATCAGAAATTTTTTTGTCAAGGGGGTAATAAAATAATGTAGAGTGGTTTTGATTTTTAAAATGTCACTTTGTTTTCATTGTTTGTTTAGATGTCATATATTCATTTTATGGTGTTAGTAGTCTTTATGCATCAGTTCTGTTGTGTGGGTGTCATGTGTTTACCTCATGGCATCTGTGTACCTGTTTAATTCTTGAAATGTTGGCATAATGTGTATTAAAAATTGAGTATTTTAGTATTAAATGATTGAAATGCAAAAATATATCCAATTTTTAATACATATTTAAATTATTCTAACCTTTCAAGAATTCAACACACACACTATGAGGCAAACACATGATGGTTACACAACAAAATTGATACAAAACATACTAGTGCTATAAAATGAACGCATGATGCCTATATATCCAATAATAACAAAACAATACAGAATTTAAAAATTAAAACAACAAAAATTTTTGAAAAAGTTAATTAAATAATGAAACATGTCAAATTTATAAAGCTTTTCCTACTTGTTCTTTAAATATCATTGTATTGAGCGCTTTTTTAAACTAGATATTAGCAATCATATACACAAGTGTTGGTGTGCATACATTGCTAAACAAATAAGTAAATACCAAATTTAGCCAAGAGGCATAGACATAATAGTGCTCAATATGATTAGACAGAGCAAAGAAATATATATTAATAAATACACATATACCTACATTTGGTGTGTGACTAAAGTTTTGTTGGTTACCCAACTCGTCAGGCACAAGATATAGCTTATTGTTTACTCAAAAAGTATACAGATGCTTATGGGATGGATGCCGATTCATAGTTCAAAATTAAAATAGCACTATTTTTGTACTATTTTAATTTTGAACTATGAATCAGTGTCCATCCTATGAGCATCTTTATACTTTTTTAAATAAACAATAAGCTATATCTTGTGCCTGATGAGTTGGGTAACCAACAAAACTTTAGCCACACACCAAACATAGGTATATATATATATATATATGAGAGAGAGAGAGAGAGATCAATAAGATTGCAACCAGGTATATAATTATTAGCTGAATTTTAATGTGAAATTTTCACTTGACAATGTTCAATGTACGTCATTAAAATTCATTGCATTGACAAGGAAAGGGATTATATTGAAATACAAAGATTTTTTTTGTGTAAAATGCTATTTTTTATCACTGAGCTGTGGACTTATTAACAGACATTATTTTTTGAATGCTAGTGATAAAAAGTCAAGTACATTTATATTATGAAATGATCCTCAGATAGTAGCAATATAGTTCATATAGCAAACACCCCAAAATTTTTCCACTAGAATTTTTCTGCTTTTTTGTAGTGCTTTATTATTACTGTTGGGGATGTGCAGAATAAACTAATGAACTTGGGTTAGCATTGAGATGAGTCAGAAGGAAATTTTATGTGAGGTTGCGTGAACTTTTCTGCATCCACAAACAAATAAACAATTTCAATATAAACAAGACAAAGCATACATTCAACACCAATAAAAGCATTTATATACAAGTACGGTAATATATACAGGGTATTTTTAAGGTTGTTAATGTGTTGGTGTGCTTGTGATATATGTAGTTTTATTTATGTCTTTTTTATGTCTTGTGCATTAACGTTACAGTCTTTTAGGAAATTGTAATGAATGTAGTTAATGCGTTTTAGAAATGAGTCATTACGAAGTAGTCTACCTTTGCAAAATGTTGAGATCGTTCGATGATATTACTTAGAAAAATAGTGAATGTCAATTCACTTTTGATAAATAAAGTAATTCAGATAAAAGTTTTGTGTGTTCTTCGATTTGAGCTTGCAGGTGAGTCAGTGATGATTTAGTTGCGCATTAGTTTGCGTGTTAATTTGTGCGGCAAAATTGCAGTTGCAAGCAACGTGGATTATATTAGCATATCTCTGTACTCGTTCGACTGACTGACTTATCATAATGATCAAAGAGAATGTATAGTTTGAGATTCTTGAATGACGAAGAAGTTCGTAGAAGATGTTGAACTGGAAGGATTTGTTGTCTCGATTAGTGAGATGGTAATTAGTAGTCGTCACATTTTTAAGCTTGAGTAAGCGGTCGAAAAATGGTCTGCTGCTGATCTGCCTAGGTCTGCGTCTGCCTCTGCATGGTCACACGTGTTTTGGGTTCCTTTTAAGAGGTCATGATCACATGGGGTGGCTCCAGAGCGATTTTGCACCAAAACTTCGAAGTGCATGTGCGGGAGACCTGATTCGTAGAAATGAACCAATCAGAGGGCTAGATTTACGAATGAAAGTTGGAATAGTGCATTACTCGAAG